AATGAAAAGTATTTTACTGTGGGTCTTTTACAATTTAGATGCAGATAGTTGAAGAGCTTCATGCTGCACGTGTGGGAAAAAGTGTAGATTCACCTGTGGTGCTGCCTTCTGGAGAGTTAACAAGCATGGAGATTGATTTAGTGGAAGACGATAGACATTGCTCTGCTGGTATACCCTGTGTGTATATGATGATGTCTATGATGTATGCTTTCTTAAGAATGAGTGTGCCAATTCAATTTTTATAATATTTAGATGTAAAATGTTAAAATGTGCTCATTTGCAATAATAAAGTATGGTATATTTCTTTATAGGAATCAGGTGTAATATTTATCTTATCATCATTCATTTTTATATATCTCACATTATTAGGCAATTAGATGTATTTTCTTCTTTTTGTCAAGGGGCAGCAGTCACAGTAATTAGTTGTCTTTTATTCCTGGTAGTAATCATAACTTTTTAACAGTTTCAGCTATGTAAAGCATTGATCAATTCTTCCTACTGGGAGATAGATAATGATATATTATCCAAAATCTATTAGCATACTATTTTGAATTGTATTTATAAAAATAGTAATGCTACATTACATTCACATTGAATTTTTCACTCTACTGTTTTTGTGTGCATTAACATATATGACCCTCACAATAGCTCTATGAAGTAATGCTAATATCTGTTTGCTTTCTTTTACAAGTATTAATTTTTTCAATTATGTTTCACTCAGTATATTAAAATTAGCTTATGATTCCTAAGTGCACAGCTACCAATGGTGAAGGATGGGGTTTTGCAACTGTAATTACTGTAATTACTACTGGGGCATCAGTTTATGTTCTTTCTCTTAAGGATTGCAGTAAATGTGTTTTTGTTTTTGTTGTCCAAAGGACTGCCTTCTCTTAAGAATGTTATCAAAGTTCTATGATATTTAAATTTCAGTTATTAAAGACTGTTATCAAGTGTCATGAAATCCTAATTTTGCCTTCTTTCTCTAGCAAATACTGCTTCAGACAAAAAGCTTCTAATTGTTATTGACACAAATATTCTGATGAATCATCTCAAATTTGTTAGAATTTTGAAGACAACAGAAATACCAGGTATTTATAAAACATATTTGCTGATTCTGATTTTTATATTTTAGTTGATATTTTAACAGTGACGTGGGTTTTTTCCCCCCACAAGTACATTTCCATTTAGATATTAAGCATATGTATTAAGCATAATCAGCTTAACTTAAAAAAAAAAACCTTCACAGGTTAATCTAGCAATCTACATTTAACTCTTCTTTGATTTCCAATACTTTCTCCAACATTCTTTCGACAAATCTGTTAATTTCCATTTTTTTTGTGTTAACTCTTCATTTAGATTGTGAATTCCTTACTTTATAACTTTCAGTTCTCCTACAGCATTTCAACTGAGTAACATAATATTTGTTGACTTCAAAGATATCTTTTTTATTTTTTAGGCTTTGATAGACTTGTGTTAATAATTCCCTGGGTTGTTGTGCAAGAGCTAGATCGTATGAAGGCAGGAAAACTACTAAAATATGCCCAGCAAAAAGCTATACTTGCAGTTCATTTCATCAATGAATGTCTCAAAAATCAAGATAGAAATCTATGGGGTCAATCAATACAACTTGCATCTCAAAAACTTTGTAAGTATCGTTCTTTCATGGTGCTTCCTGGTTAAGATTTGTTTGGGTGCCAACTCATTGGAGGGAAATGGTGCAAAACTTTAAAAACTTTATAACCGTTGGAAATGTGCATGACAAAGCATGGTGATGCTTTGTGGGATCCTTGATTTATTTTTCTGCTTCTCCTAGACCTTCTTAGGTTATGTCTCTATTTTACAGATAGTAACTATTATAGTTTGTGTGCACAGTAGTCTGTAATACAGTACTTTGGGTTCTTTTTTTTAAATACTGTTGCTGAGTGATGAGGCCCATAGTAATCTAGGTTTCTCATCTGTTACTGCACACAGTTAATATGATGTAGAGGCAGGTATTATTTTCCTCTAGTTTAATTTGTAATAAGAAAGTCTTTTTGTAATAAAAGTCTATAGATTTTCTCCCAA